AAAAAATGTTGTTTATCAGGATATCTTGACCAAACTCGACATTAACTATTCTCCCTGTGCTTCTTAGATACGGGCAAAGCACTATTAGCATTATGAAAAGGTGTGGTCTGCAAGGGTATTAGATCTTCGGCGTGCCGAAGGTAGCCTTACTTTCTCGTTTTGTTTTAGATTGTGGCAACTCCCGAGCAGACAAACTGGAGGCAGAACAACACCAATTACCTATTAATTGTTGTTGTCGGCGTTGTTATTGTTTTCGTTGTTGCTGTTGTTGTTGTTGTTGGTGTTCGACTGCTGCAATTGTTGGCGGCATGGCAGGCGTCGCCTTTGCTTGTCATAAATTGCAGCGCTGCTGTTTTCGCTTGCTGGCAATTGCCTCATAACAATTGAAACTGCGGCGCTGCAACTGCGACTTTTGTTTGTTTTCGATGGCGGCTTTGCGAAGTTATTTATATTCCGTTCAGTTTTAACATTTCTTTTCATTTTCAATTGTTTTGATATTGCTAAAGGTAATTTCTTAAAGAATTGAATTGCATTTTTGTTAAATAATTACTTTTATTATTCCTGGAAAACACCTTCCTAACAGAAGTTCCAGAATATTAATATTTCAATGCTGACATCAAAATTTCCATATATATACACATATATCTATATATATAAATTTGTTTGTCCTGACTGACTGACTGGTGATCAACGCCCAGCCCATACCATAAGAGCTAGGAAGCTGAAATTTTCACGTTAAGATGGAGTTTCGGGAAATTCCACCCCCAAGTATGGAAAAATCGGGAAAAACGTTTGTTTGAAACTTTTTTGTTTACCATCCGATCGGCATCAAACTCAATTTCAAAGTTCTTCGTTCAAATTCACTTGAGGGGTGTTTCCCACTTTTTGGGGAATCCATCTCTCGTTGGTATAAATGGGGGTGAAAGATTTGGTGGGTGACGTTTCGCGCCCAAATTCATTTCCAAGGATCTATATTAAAAATCATTTGACACGTGTTTCCCATTTTACGCAAAATCTAAACTCCTTAGGTGGAGAATGCATTTTAAAGACTTATTTTTTTGGTGAACATTGATTTTATAACATACATGCCTCGGGCAAGGCCGGGCTATACCCGCTAGTGATTTATATAAATCTTATAAATCTTCATAGTCAACTATAACTTAATTTATATGTTGCGGAAAGCTTGAACGCTTGTCAATATCCGAAGATTAATTGCTAGTTGATACACTTAAGGCAAATTTAAATGTTGGAATAAAATATTCCACATACGACTCGAACTTTTTATAAAAACAGGTTCGATTCCACAGTCTTTTGTATACAGCTAGTTGATTTAAGTCTTGTTTTTTTTTTTTTTAAATTTCTTTTGATAAATGCTCACTGTCGTCGTATGATAAGTTATATATACCTTAAATTATTTGCAATTTTATAACTTCTTAATTTAAATTTAATGCAATCATGTTTAATGATTTTTGTGATAATTGAACTCATATATGTAACTTCAATAATAATATGGGCTATTCTAAATTCTTCAGTCTTTGTATTATTTCCAGTTCATAAACTTATAATAGCAGCTATGAAATTTTAATAATGAAGTGAAAACAATTATGAAACACTTCCCCTGAAAAAGAAAAAATACTGTATGTTTTAATTAAATTTAACGTGAAAAAGCCCCCAAAAATAAACACATACGTAATAAAGATGAACTAAACAAAACTGGCGGCTACAATTTCTAACATCTCATAAAGTGGGCGATTGTTGGCCAGCGGAACGAGCCCACAGCAGGAGGCGGCCAATTAGCGCCCTTCGGCGGGCGGTCCATGGCCGCCGTGGGGCTAGTGTTTGCATGAATAATTGCTGCGACGGCAGCGTGTACCACGAAACCAGGAAAAATCTAAAGCGTTAAGTGCTTCGGCATGCTTTACAAAACTCAACCGAGCTCCAATTAGACATTGCGCATATATATTATACATATACGGTGGGCGGCGCTGTGGGCGGTCTTGGTTAGGGGGCAAGTGTGAAACATGCAGACAGGCATGCTGGCACGACGCGTCGAACTGTCTGCCGGACAGCCAGTTTTTGCGCCGAACGCAAATTGCAAATGAGCAGCGGGCAAAAAAACAGAGCTGCGGAAATGCACAAGAATTCTTGTGCAAAAAGTACACAAAACACAAAAACATACTGAAATCGTATCACAAGCAGAACACACCAAAAAAAAAAAAAAGAGCTGCTGGCCAAAACCAAGACCAAACAAAAAAACACTTGCATATGACCTCAAAATCTATTAGCACGTCGAACTCTGGCGGCTATGAAATGCAATCGCAGCCGCCGCCCCCTTAGGGCATTTTTTCTGGTCCAATTTTTTGGTCGACTACAAACATTAATGTCCATAAAACTGTGAAAATGCCCCAAAGCCAAACAACAACACTAGCAGCAGCAGCAACATCAGCATCAGCAGTAACATCAACAGCTACAGCATTTACATCAGTTGAGCATCTGAGCGTCTGTCTGAGCATCTGAATCTGTGGCACGTAGGTCAACGCATCAGCAATCGCAGCGACTACATCGTCTGGCTGAGCAGCAGCCAGCTCCGTCCGCTTGTCCACCTGTCTATCGAGTTGCCTATCTGGCGGCCTTTAGCTACATCTTTGTTATACACGACAAAAAATTGTTTAGGTTTTGTTATTGCAAAATGTACATGGTTTTTTGTTTGACGCATATTCACACCTGACTGTATGTTGTTTGTGCTTTGCCGAACTCTTGGGCGCTTTAAAGCTATAATTAAATGCACGTTAAGAAAGCTTAAATTATTTTAAAAATTTGCTAAAGTACAAATATTTTTAAATGAATACATTAAATTCTTATTTGTTTTCATGGAAGTTTTTTAATACTTTTTTATTTTATTTATTATTTATTTACTTTCAATTTTGTTATTATCTGTATTTAAATTTATTAGGTTCAAATTACAAAGTATTTTTGGTTTTGATATCATCTGTAAATAAAAAAAGTTATTAAAAATGTTTTTCGATCTTTATTAAACAAATTTTTATTCTGAGAAATTAAAGGATATTTTTAAGCGTTCAATGTTGCGCTTACTTGTTTCCTTTGTTTTGGAAAGGCATAAACATTCGTGAATTGCACCCCAACTAATCAAATTGTGGTTGTTGTTTTCGGCTAATCATTCACCCGTTATCTGTGCGCTTGATTTACCGTATATGGCATTTAGCTGTTAATAACACAACAATATAAACAACAATTTAACCCGATTCACAGGCCTTACAACATCTGCCGTTAAATTATTCAACTTAATTATATTTAAAAATTATGTAAATATTTAAAAGCACAAATGATTTAACAGCCAAGCGTTCGGATAGAAGACACAACGAGTTGAAATATGACAAAGTGCGTCACAATTGTGCAGGGGTTCCATCGGCCAAATGAAGTAAGAATATAATTGCTCAGCTCTTGACTCTTCTCTTTTTATTAAGAAAAGCGAAAACAAAAAGCAAAAACAAAATGAGTAGAGTAGATACAATGGTAATTCTTGGACTTTCAAAAAAGCTGTAGTTGCTGCAGTTTCCTGAGTAACGTAGCGCAAGTTTAGGTGATGGTGCGATTTGTGCATTTTTCATAACATTTTTCACACAATTAATTTTAAAGCGCGGGTAGTAAAAAAAAAAAGCAAAATATGAATTTTAAATGTTAAGCATATCAATTTGCATTGTTTTTAGCAGCAAATGTTACGATTGATAACTAATTGTGGAAATTAACATAAAGTCGCCTATTCGAAAGTGTTAAAACAAAAGACTGAAGACACGAACTTGAACTTGCCAAGCAGCAACGCAGCGATTAATTTATAAATGTGATCTACCGCTGGCACAGCACCCTCTTCCCGGCTTATAGACAATATTTTAAGTCCCACACCATTGCCAAAAAAAAATGGCCAGCTGCATCGCGACGCTCCCACATCAAATTTTAACATTATCTTTCGCTTTTTTTGTTGTTTTTTTCTGTCGATTGCACTGAAGATGCGGCAATTTTATGTAATTTTCACAACAGGAATTGTCAGCAATTCCCTGTCCACCCCTCTGGCTGCCGTTTCATAATGCAGTGAATGCAGAAGGTGCACATTTCGCATGCCATTCGATAAAGGTGAAAATTTTGCTTGGCATATTCAGACACAATGCAAAAAATAAATACAACAACAAATTGAAATGAAAACTATTTACTTATTGGTACCCTAACGAGGGGTTATTTTATTATTGTCATAAGATTTACATGGCATTTATGAAAACATAAATTAAGTAGATCAGAGCTGGGTCGACATGGTCTGACTGCCTCTCAGTGATGGGATATGAAGCTTATTTAGTAAAGGGCAACACCTAAGATGAAATCGTTAGGATCGGGTCAATTTCAGATATAGCTATAAAAGGTTATTTAATTTTTTTTTAAATTATATGTTAACCAGAAATTACTTATTTTGAATGGAATAATAATGAATATGCCTGCAAGGGTATTAAATCTTCGGCCCATCTGCCGATAAGAGTTCCTTTTCTTGTTTTGTTTTGCTTAGTTTGCAGCTGAGCGGGCCGCACACAAAGACGCTGCTAAAGGTTCGCTTGAATAAACAACATGCGGCGCGGCGAGGCGAGATAAAAATGGCAAAACAAATAAATCAAAACTACAAATAACACGTATACGACACGTTGCGAGCCCAAGACAATACCAAGTAAAATATTTTGACTGAGCATGGCGCTGCCTCAGTTTCAATTTCAGTTGGAGTTTGTGGTGAATGTGTGTGTTTGTATGTTTGTGTATGTGCTGCATACAGTTTTAACACTTGTGCAGACAACAACAAATGCTTCCTATATGTCAGCGCGGCAACCGTAAAGGTTAAGCGGCAACTTGACAAAAAGGTTAAAACGATTTAACAGACATTTGGCAGCGCTGGCTGAAAGCAAGACGACGCGCAGATTGGACGATACATGCAGCGAACACCCGCAATGCGTCCTGGACAGCAGCGCCTATCAGTGTGTAGGTGGGTGTGTGTGTGCTTGAAGACGGAACAAATTTTGTTTGATTGTCGCGGCCCTCGTCTAGCCGAATGCAAGAGCCCAGCCGACGTTGCTTTATTATTATTTTTATGGCTGCTGCAAACACCTGTTGCCCTGGCCCGTGTTGACAGTTTATTCGCTCTCTTGCCGCTTGTATTGCTGCTGTTGTTGTTAACAGATAATGATTCAGCAGCAGCATCAGCCGCCGCAGCATCTCAGCAGTTGCAACTTCCTTATTTGTCATTGTAGTCTTTGGATATTTCGCTTTTTACCTGCAGCTCTTTTATTTCTTTTCACTTTCGTTGAGGTGCTCTGCCATGTGAATGGCCAGGCATATCCCATTTATCATTTTTGGTGTCTCTCTTAAAGATGATTGCATTGAATTTCTTGTTTTGCCAGTGCGTTGAAATTGTGTAAACATTTTGCTGGCAAGTGAAGCTAATTAATAAATGTTATTGAAGGACTCTCAAAATTGTTTAATAAAATGCACACAACTTGGGCCTAGCCGTAATATAAAAGTAAAAGAGCAAAGGCATATATAGTCATTAGAGATTAACTAAATTTGTGCAGCAAATATTTATTGAATTTCAAAAATAATTGAAGACAAGTCTTGCTTATTATACCCTGAACCCATTAAAAATGGGTATAAGGGTATATTGTATTTGTGCAAAATCCAAATGTATGTAACAGGCAGAAGGAAGCATCTCCGACCCCATAAAATATATATATTCTTGATCAGCATCAATAGCCAAGTCGATCTAGCCATGTCCGCCTGTCTGTCCGTCCGTCCGTCCGTATGTATGAACGCAAGGATCTCAGAACCTATAAGAGCTAGAGACTTGAAATTAGATGTAGGTGCAGATCGAGTTTGTTTCCGATAATCGATAACTTACCCCGTTTCCAAGCAATCGATAAAAATCGATATCGAGATCCTGTTTTTTGGGAAATTTTGGTAAACAATAAGAGCTAGAGTCACCAAACTTGACATATAGCTTCTAAAATAGAATATATATTTGCATTTGATGTTGGAAGAAGAGAGTTCAGGGTATCCCCTAGTCGGAAGCTCCCGACTAGAACCTCTTACTTGTTTTTAGTTTTACATAATTCATATTTAAAAAAATCGATATTTATGCTTTGGCTTGAACCTCGATTCATCTAAATTATTTTATGAAAATAATAAAAAAAATTAATTAATTTATTATAAATTGCTTAAGTTCAGAGAACATGTCAAAATTTAAATTTAAAATTTTATATCGTCTCCAATAACAAAATAGAACTCAATCTTCACAAGAAAAATGATACTTGACCAAAAACAATTGCATTCAATTTCAATTTGCTGTTGCCGATAAATAAACCTTGGCAATGAAAAAAACTCTTGCGGGTAATTGCAAATTGAAAAACGTGCATATTGGATAAAACGATTTGCAGCAATCAATTTAATGATGTGGAAGAAGCATGCAACGCTTGAACTTTAAATAATAAAATTGTGCATATTTTTCATCGGCGTATTAAAAACATTTTATTAAATTTCAAAAGTCAGCTGTTTCTATGGTTTTTTTGTATTATGTAATTTGTGTATTTAATGAAATGCAGAAAAAAGAATTAAAATTTAGTTGTGAGAACGGCAAATCTAAACAAGAACCCGAAATCCAAGGCAGGCAACTAATTTAAATACAAAGAAGCACCTAACAGACAATGCATACAAAAAAAAATCGCTTTCGCAAAACCGCACCCGCGAGCTTCTAGAGGGGCACCACACTGCACTTTATGTTAAATTGAAATATGTGTGCACATAAATAGTGTATTTCGATATATTTGTTGTTCAATTTGCATTGTTATTGAAAAAGTAGAGAGAATTAAATCTTTGGCAGAAAAAACTGGAAGCTTAGAAATAGATTTAGCTGCGAAAATTGTTTAATTGAATGCAAAGAGTGTCACTGGGCAAGCCGTTTGCCTGCTCGCTTCTCGCTTCTCCACTCTATATTGTTTGCAGTTGTGCAAATTAAAACAATTATATGAAATTATGCAAAGTACGCAGCAGCAGCATCAGCAGCAGCAGCTGCCGTAGCCGCAGCAACAACAAAAACAGCTGCATAAATGAGCTGACGGAAGTGACAACGATGCCAAAGTGAATGTCTGCAGCGATTGACTGACTGAATGACTTTGTGACTGACTTAGTGACTGACTAACTTACCAAGCGCCTGATACAGCTGCCGCGCAGCTCGCGTTATTTACTTTTGCCATGCGCCCAGGCTTTAGCACATTTTATTACACATACGCCTACAGGGCGCCTTGTCGGCCTTATCCATTGTTAAATATCCCGCTAAGGCTTACTGCCTATGTGTAGCTAATTGACTGCTTGATTGAGAAATTGACCGTTCACCGCTTCGTACAGCTCTTGTCATCTTGTCATCTTGTCATCTTGCAGGCCTGAGATCAGACTTTACCATATTTTATTATATATACGCCCTGTGGCGCCTTTAAGCGCCGCATCTATCCAGCTAAGGCAGCTGTCTACGTAAAACCGACTTACTGTTTAATTTATTAGCTGACTTAGTGTCTTACACAGTATTTGTCATTTGTATGACCCTTTACTTTATCACACGTACGCCCTGTGGCGCCATTGGCTGCCTGTCGCACCATTTGCGCTTTATCTCCATAGCTATTTATGTGTATATTCATTTGTATTTATCTATTCATCTTAGACAAACTCTACCTATCTATAACTTGTCTATGGTGTGTATGCAATTGCATTATGTAATCAATTTCCAGCGACTTTGTGTCCATGCAGCGCGTACGCTCGCACAATTATATATTTTTTCTCTTTCTAGTATTTTTTTTTTTGGGAGTTCGTATAATTTTCATTATCTAATATGCCAGCGTGCATTCGGTGTGTAGTATGTGATTTTATTTGTTGTTTTATTTTTGTGGCATCCCACGAGCTGTAGCAATAAATATTCATAATTTTGTTAACAAGCCAGCAACAAATTTTAATCTTTTTTTTTTTTGTTGTTTATTTTTAGGCATTTCAGTACATAAAATGCGGCGTACACAAATACATTTGCTGTGCTGTGGTAAGTTAATTATTTATAAGACATTATTTTAAGAATGCAAGCTTAGAAGTATACAAAATTGTTTTAACATTATATTTATACCCTGAACCCATTAAAAATGGGTATAAGGGTATATTGTATTTGTGCAAAATCCAAATGTATGTAACAGGCAGAAGGAAGCATCTCCGACCCCATAAAGTATATATATTCTTGATCAGCATCAATAGCCGAGTCGATATAGCCATGTCCGTCTGTCTGTCCGTCCGTCTGTCCGTATGTATGAACGCAAGGATCTCAGAACCTATAAAAGCTCGTGGCTTGATGTAGGTGCTCCTAGTTCCCGCGCAGATCGAGTTTGTTTCCGATAATCGATAACTTACTCCGTTTCCAAGCAATCGATAAAAATCGATATCGAGATTCTGTTTTTTTTGGCAATTTTGGTAAATAATAAGAGCTAGAGTCACCAAACTTGACATATAGCTCCTAAAATAGAATATATATATTCATTTGATGTTGGAAGAAGAGGGTTCAGGGTATCCCCTAGTCGGGAGCTCCCGACTAGAACCTCTTACTTCTTATTATTGTGCTCTTGGTTATCTTCATCTGCCAAACAAATATGCACAAATAGGTAAATACAGGTGTGAATATAAGGGGTAGATGATATAGGTTATTTAGTATTTGATACGCAAATACAACTCAAAAACAAATATTACAGTCGATTTTAATGCCCTTGAAGAAACCAATATAATTTTATGAAATAAACACGCTTTTGTTTTTAAAAGTTTCGGAAATATATACTATATATACCAAATATATTATTTTTTTATATCATTTAACAGCCATAAGATGTAGGTCATCTTTCATAGACACACAATAATGGTTAATCAGGGCTGACTCATTATAATTGTGAAAGTCCGTTTCTGTTTTAGATATCGTAAGTGGTTGTCAACACAATCTTTGTTTATTCAATTTTCTGGCAGAATACAAATTATTTATTTTTAAATTTATTGCGCCTTTCAATTCGTTGTCACAACTTTGTGTTGAAAAAGAAGTGTAAGTAAATACAAAAGACGACGCCCACATTTTGCAACAATCCTTGACCTTGTCAACGCAGCTCAGATTCCCACAATCCATTAACGCTAACGGCACATTTAAGCCAGGCTAAAACCAAAGCTCGACGCGTGACGCGTGACGCATGCGTAGGCAACAAATCGGCGGAAAAAAAGCATCATAAAAAAGGGGCATAAAAGAGGCGGATTGGGTGTCTTTGTTTGTTGTTGTCGTTGTTGTTGTTGCTGTAGTGCGATAAATAAAAAAAAAATGTGATGACCTGGGTTGAAGACATGCGTTTGGCCTGAGCTGTTAATTAATGTACAGCTGTCCCAGGTGAATGCCTGGGAAATCCCCAGAGAAAATGCCACATTTAAACGCTCATTAGCCGCTGACCCAGACCCAAATGTCGGGGCGCAGACAAAGATATTGCTGCTTAACTAACCGTCTAAAATCAACAATAAATGCCGAAAAAAATATGTAAGCTATTGGACAATGCAAATATTTGTGTGATTCATCACGCCTGCTCCACGCTGTCCACATGGCGTATGCATAATGTTGGCTCATTCGCTTCGCGTTTTATTTCTTCTTTTTGGGGCGTTTCAATCAACGTGCACAAATTATGGGCAATTGTTTAATTATCTGTGGCAGCAACACCCTCGATAAAGCAAACGCTGCAATCTTCGGTTACTTCGGTTGTTCATGGACAATTGAATAATGATTCATATAATAACAACGATTATGCAGCAATCGAACCTTGAATCTTGCGGTTACGGCTTTTTGGTGGTGTCGTCTTCAATTCCAGTCGTTGATCCATCAGCCACATCTCTTACTTTATCTCTTTGCCACATACATTTAATTGTTTGTATGCTTTGAAAATTTAATTATTGCATTTGCTGGCCTAAGGTCAGTAATTCGCCTCAACATCGTCATCGCCATCGCTATCGCAGTCACAGTCACGTTCACAGTGACAATCACTGTCACACTTTTTGCGTAATTCGGCAATGGTTATACAAAAGTCAAGGTTGCTTCAGTGTTCAGCAATCGGGAAGTTAATATTATATCATATTAAATCAAATTTATCAAAATTTCAAGACATAGCTCGGATAATAAATGGCTTGAAACTGCAATTAGTTATATTTAGATGCATTGAAATGATATTGAAATGACAGCTTGATATTAGTTGAATCTTGAAGTAAATGAATAGCTAAGCAACTACCTTCCTTGATGTAATTCATTTCATTTTTATTATTATTTTTAAGATGGTATTTAACATTTTAAGGAATATTTATACATGTTTCTTTTACTCGTTCACAGCGCTTCTCCTGGTGGCATACTTGAGCCAAGCCAGCGCAGAAACCAAGGTAAGAGATTTTTAAGTTTGAATCCAAGCTAAATCCTTATAAGTTTACTTTACTGTTTGCAGCTCCGTACGCCGGCTCGCATTCTGGCCAAGCAGACAGGCGCCACACAGTTTGAGGAGGAACGCTATGAGACGCATACGAACTGCAATGAGCACAAGCATCATCTGAAGAAGCGCGCCTCCGACGAGGATGTGGACTATGAGGTTTATCAGGGCGTAGTGGGACGACCGGGCATTGATTTTCCCATCTATCCGCGCATACCAAAGACCACGTTCAGTTGTCGCTCCTACGGCAACGGCTACTTTGCAGATATGGAAACGGATTGTCAGGTGGGTGTTCAGCTCGAAGATATGTGTCGAAAGGAAGTTAATTCTTTCTTTACCTGCAGGTCTTTCACATTTGCGAGGAGGGTCGCAAAATCTCATTCCTCTGCCCAAATGGTACCATATTCCAGCAGAGCGAGCTCACCTGCGACTGGTGGTTCAAGGTAAACTGCCTGGGCTCTTCCGGCTACTACGCTGAGAGCGCTGAAATCCTCAACAAGCAGCGCGTTCACCGCGTTCGCCCCTCGGTGCCAGTGCAGGGCTTTAATATTGTGGGCGGCGGCTTGAATATCAAGCCCAAGGTGACACCTGCTGTGGGTCAGGGGCGTGCGAGCACACGTGCGGGCAGCAAATCCGATAGGCGCATCGATTCTACGGAGGATCTGCATGCCTCGCTGGAGAGCGTTGACTTCGATGATGTCTCTGGAGAGAAGCAGCGCAAGGTGCTGCCCAGCATTGATAACAACAACAACGAACATGAGACGCAAATCGCAGCCGAGAGCTCATCATTTGTCAGTGGTGCGAACAAGCGACGCAACAACAACAACAGCAATGGCAATGGCAATTTCAATCCCAACAGCAATGATGATGCAACCATATTGAAGCCAACACGCAGTCGCAGCAGCAGCAGCTCCTCACAGGAGCGCAGCACAAAGGTGCGTGGCGAATCCAGAGAGCGTGCTCGCAACGGACAACGTGGACAGCAGCGGTATAAGGAGCTAGACAGCGAGGAGCACCAGAACAAGGAGAAGAGCAAAGATAAACTAAAGGAGAAACCCGAGTTCTACGAGACACACTCGATCCGCCCCGTGCAGCACACTACGCCCTATTACACACCCAGCAGCTACTCAACGGTGCGCCGCCTGGAGCCCAGCAAATCGACGCCCTACTACACGCCCACTGTGCCCAGCGTACTCAAATCCAAGTCCACCGAGGGTAAGCTGAATTACATTAAAGGCGTTCATTCCGCAACCACGCCCAATCCGAATCGCTTTGGCAGCGCTGGCATCTCAAGTTTATTCCTGGAATCCTCTCAGGCGCCCAAGAGCGCCAAGCCCACGGCCAGCGCCAGCCTGGAGCTGGACAGCACATATAGGCCTGTAATCATAGGCATGCGCCATCATTACGATGTGGCCGGCTCCGGGGAGCTGAAGCGTCTCGCGCTGAGCATCAACTCGAATGCGGAGCACGCGCCAAAAAAGAGCGAAAGTAATCGTGATTACTTGCCCACAACATCAGCGCCGACAGCGACGAGCAGTGGACCCACCTATTTGCCCAAAGTAGGCGCCGTTGTACCTAGATCCAATGCAGAGGCAGCTGGGGGTGAATCGCTGCTGTTTGCACCGAATCCCGTAAAGGAGGAGTCCGTTTATCGAAATGTGCAGGATATGCTGAAGACTGTGAGTCTGCTGAAGGATCAATTCGAGGATGTCGAGTTGAATGCACAGCCTGCATCAAATGCACGCGCTGGCCTAGAAATACCGCCCTCATCCGGCCCAGATGCGCTCGTCTCGCTGGCCAAGTACTTTGCCCAGGAGCACAATGAGTCAAGCAATGCTTTGCTCAAGCCGGAGAAGAGTGTGGTGCATACCAAGCTGTCCGCGAAGGCGCCGGCACCGGCACCCTTATTGCCAACGGTTAAGCCATCGGATACGACAGCCACACTGACCACTTCCGAGACGCCTCCCAGCATTAGCGAGCAGGCGGACGATATCAAGCAGAGCCTGCTCAGCGCAAAGACCGTGCAGAAATATAGCAATCTCTTTGGCCTAAAGGTGGCCATGGGTCGTGACTCAGCTGAAGGTCAGGCTGATATTAGCACAGGCCTGCTCTATGCCCAGCTGAATGAGACGCATCCGCCGGCCAAGTCAGCGGACTACCAGCCCTTCCCACAAATTGGCAGCACGGGCTCAACAATAGGCGCACTGGCAGAGCGGCCGGAGTCGCGCAAGATAGCGCAAATCTTCTCGAACGCTTTGACCAGCTATCTGGACAACCCCGGCAGCTTTCGGGAAGAGCTAGCGGCGCGTGCGCGACCTACTGAGCCGCCAAACTTCAAGCCAGTGACGACAACAGATTCCACCTTATTCAGCGACGGCACGGCCAAGTATTATCTGCCCACTAAGCCCTCGCCGGATGTGACCACGCCGCAAAACATTGCGTTCGAAATCAATCACAAGTTCGACTCAACGCCAGCGCCGGAGTACTCAACCACCACAGAGTTGTACGAACTAACCACCAGCAGAGCACACGATTCGGAGCTGGAGCTATCAGCGGAGCTGTCACCGGCCAGTCTCGATTCCGGCGAAGGAGATGAGTCGCTGCAGCAGCAGCAGACGCAGTCGTTTGTCAAATCGCGCAACGATTTGCTGCAGGATGGACGTCCTCAAAAGCTCATAACAACGCACAAGCCCACCGAAAATCCGTGGGCGCTGAAATCTCAAACGGATTTCCTCGATCCGCTGACCATCAACGATGCTCTGATGAAGGAGCAGCGCACAACGACCACAACGACAACATCAACCAGCACCTCCACGCCGTTTACTTATTCGCCCAGATCGCTGGGCGGTAGCACGACAGGCACGCAGACGACCATGAGCTCGCCAGCGCACTATGAGTGGGATGATATATTCCGGAGCTATGATATACCACGCGATGCGCTGCCCTCGAGCACCGGCCTGCAGCGCATAGCCAACAAGCTGTTCGGCGGACTCAACGAGCAGGAAGCGCTGCATTTGCGCAATGTCATGGCCAAGGCAGAGCACGATCGCCAAGTTCTGAGTCTGTTACTTCTGCTTATCCAAACCTGTGATGATAGCAATGGCAAGGCACTTGAACGCTCCCGCAAGCATCTGTTAAATGCGCTCATCGACATCGACAGCAAGTTGCCCGGCAAAAACGTAGCAAGGCAGCAGCTGGCAACGACTACGACGCGTGTGCCCGTAACCACATTCCGACGCACCGGCAATGCGGATTACTATACGAGCACCACGGCACCCGGCTATACGACCAGCACAGAGCAGCCGCTCTCGACTAGCACCAGCACGGCGCCGGGCAGCTATGAAGAGACCACAAAATTCGAGATACGTGTCGAGGATGTGGACGATGCTGACTTGGCGGCAACAACGCCAGCGACGGCGCCAGCGCACACGGAGATCCATTCGGATCGTCGTGCCCTGGAGCTGCTGAAGTCACTATATTCGCTGGCATCGAAGTTTAGCAGCAGGCGATAAGATTGCCAATGCCAACGGTTGCCGATTCCTAATGGCAGTGTGGCCAGCGCTGCGAAAGTGTGCGAGTAAATGCTTAACTTTTAGTCAACTCCCCCCGGCGCTCAACAACCGTCCAATACCCTCCTCTCACTTGGCTTGCAAACTGAGTATTTTAGCTTAAATTTGATATTAAACATATTTTGTATATCCTTTTCTATTAAAAGTTCTTTTTCGCAACTAGTTTGTAAATATGCAAAAGTTTGAAAGCGAAATACTCGTAAAAAATACTCGAATATCACAATACTCTAACTTTACAAGTTGTATTTAATTAGTTTCTTTTAGTTTTAACTGCAAATTACGAGTATTTTCCACATTTTCCCAATTATTTCTGTACAATCCATATGCCTATATATACATATGTTGTCTTTATGTCTTGCTCTTTTTTGTAAATATTTATTTAAAGTTAATAAAGTACATATAAAAACAAATAAAAACAAAATAAAATATTAACACGTCTTGAGTTATTTGAGTAATTTTGTATTATAGACAATCGAAAAGGAAACTTAATGAAAAATTTTAGTAAGGCCTTTAAAAAACAAGTGTTTAAAATGCGAATTTGATAAAATAAATATATATAAAGGTATTTGCCTTTAATCAAACATACAAGCTATTCCATGTAGTTGTTGCTTTCTTATACCCTGAACCCATTAAAAATGGGTATAAGGGTATATTGTATTTGTGCGAAAGCCAAATGTATGTAACAGGCAGAAGGAAGCATATCCGACCCCATAAAGTATATATATTCTTGATCAGCGTAAATAGCCGAGTCGATCTAGCCATGTACGTCTGTCCGTCCGTCCGTATGTATGAACGCAAGGATCTGAAATTTTAGATGTAGATGCTCCTAGCTCCTGCGCAGATCGAGTTTGTTTCCGATAATCGATAACTTACTCCGTTTCCAAGCAATCGATAAAAATCGATATCGATATACTGTTTTTTGGGCAATTTTGGTAAATAATAAGAGCTAGAGTCACCAAACTTGACATGTAGCTTCTAAATTAGAATATATATATGCAGTTGATGTTGGAAGAAGAGGGTTCAGGGTATCCTCTAGTCGGGAGCTCCCGACTAGAACCTCTACTTGTTTTCTCATAAGTACTTAATTATTGGTGTGGCTGCTGAGAAGAGGCATAGCTAGTGGTGCGGTCTGTCGTGAGTTCGAGCCCTACCGGGGAAAGTATTATTTTTTTATTTTTTTGCTGGTGTGGCTTTTGAGTAGAGTAGACAGCAAATTTATTTGGAATAAGAGCGCAGGGTATTCGCTAGTCGGGAGCTCCCGACTAGAACCTCTTACTTGTTTTTGTTTTGATTTACCTCAATAATCATATCTGTTACCCGCCAACAGAATTTAGATAATTATATACAGGCAAAATAATTAATAGTTCAGTTAAAAAAGATTTTAGCAGCCTGCTAGGCATATTTTAGCCGCATAAAAAGATAATTCAACAAGCCATAGAATAAACAACCATCAACAATAAATCAATAAAAATCGGATACACATTAAATAACTCAACTTGGATAATCGAAAAACTCTGAACACAAATGCGATTGTCTTGGCCTGCCAGTTCCAAGTAAAGGTGCTGGCCAAGCGGGAAAGGTCAAATAGAACAAAAAGGCATAAAGCGCTCATGCAATCAGGCAAAAATTTAAATATTTTTGTAATTTTCTATTTTAAGCGAAAACAAAAAAAGAGAAGCAAATTGTCAATGGCTCAAGGGCGCAACGGAATCAGATTTCAATTGGATTGCACTTGAAGTGCAATACATATATAATTAAATTACGTATACGTAACGTAGCGAATTGTTACGTATACGTACGGGTGTACAACCATCTATGATAGCTGGGCAACAATGGTTAATTCAGTGTCATAAATCTGCTAAAGCGCAAGCACGAAACCAACTGACGAACTGTCAAACTGACATACTGTCGATCCACATAAACATAAATATCGCAAAGATGCCGCAACCGGGCTGCAGTCAGCTTAGAACATTTTCATCTATAAATGTCTCTTGCCGTTTGCATGTGGCGTGCAGTTGGTTCTGACGAGTAGTGCTGCTCACAGGCAAAAGGCCTTAAGGACTCGAAACTCGAAAACAACTAAAACTAAAAATTGTTTATTTATTTTGCCATGCTGGTACAACGTTACGCCGCCCTCTTGGCAGGTGAGTAAAGCCAAACACAGCTGCGGCTCAAGGTCGGTTTCGGCATGCGGAGCCGCAGCGCGTAACTCAACAGTGACCGGGTCGGTCTCATCATTATTAGCACTTCCTTTGGAGCTGTTGTTGCCAGTTGTTGTTGTTTTTGTTGTGGGCGTCTGTCTGTCTAAGTTTTTGCTGCCTTGCATATTTACGAGGCATGCGTCTTGTTTTTGGCCACAAGCGAACAGCAATCGCAATTCTTGGCAGCCCATTGATGTGGCAGTGCGTTGTTGTGCCACAGTGGCACGTGGAACATAAATCCCACACTTAATGTTAAGCAAACTAATTTGAATTGCCACATCAAATTAGCCTGTGTTATTTATATATGCTATTGAAAAAAGTAAAGTTTGACTCAAATCAACATTTTAATCAAATTAAAATGAAAAAAATTTAAGAAAATTCTATGTCAAATGAATGTTTCCAATCAATAAATTCAACACACCAACACAACCGACAACATTATTTTATTGAAAGTTGTGTTTATTCAATTTTAAATTTATTTATTTCAAAAGGGACTACCTGACACTTCCTTTAGCATTGTTTATTCAATTCATTAATCGATTGAAAACAATTTCGATTCAACTTCAAATCAAACAAGTAAGAGGTTTTAGTCGGGAGCTCCCGACTAGGGGATACCATGAACCCTCTTCTTCCAACATCAAATGCATATACATATATATTATATTTTAGAAGCTATATGTCAAGTTTGCTGACTCTAGTTCTTATTATTTACCAAAAAACAGAATATCGATATCGATTTTTATCGATTGCTTGGAAACGGAGTAAGTTATCGATTATCGGAAACAAACTCAATCTGCGCGGGAACTAGGAGCACCTACATCTAATAAATTTCAAGTCTCTAGCTTTTATAGGTTCTAAGATCCTTGCGTTCATACATACGGACGAACGGACGGACAGACAGACGGACATGGCTAGATTGACTCGGCTATTGGTGCTGATCATGAATATATATACTTTATGGGGTCGGAGATGCTTCCTTCTGCCTGTTACATACATTTGGCTTTCGCACAAATACAATATACCCTCATACCCATTTTTAATGGGTTCAGGGTATAAAAATAGTTAAACATATAATTTAACGCATTTAATTTTGTTTTTAAACAAAGCATTAAGTTGATTTTCCTAGTCAACCGAAATTGCATTATTTTCAGTACGTTTATTTAATTTAAAAGCCAACTTAATTGAACAAAATTTCTCTTCAGCCTTAAAACAAAATTAAAATATTAAAGTTAAAATAAATGGAATCGAATTCTATTTCACTCTCGCGGTTTTCAACTAATTTTTCGCTAATTCAACTTGCACCAGTGTGCAAGACACTTGAGTAGGAAACTGATAAATAAAGATCGCAATGTAGAACCGTCCGCATTTGCTATCAGTGGCAAGAATCGCATCTGGCATCGTACTTGGCCCTAAATTGAACATGGGCCGATCGCTGACGAAGCTGCGGCTCAGTTCATTTCGATTTGTTGCGTCGTCCGGGTCGAATCTCGGAGCGAATAGCCAAAATCTCCGCCAGATTTAACGCAATTAGAAAGCTTTAATGTTCTTGAATTCAATTGTTCCAGTTTTCCTGCTGCTCTGGTGCGGAAGTGGCGCCCAATTGCAGGTGCAGGTGAGTTGGGAATACCGTCGTAAAAGAAGACTTATAAAAATCCTTTCGCTTTCGCGTCAGGCACAAAGCGGCTATAACTATGTGCGTCCGGAGCTGGCCACCACGGCAGGCGGCGGAGCTATAGCGGGTCGTTTGCAACCTGGTGTATATCCCACGGGCACAGCTCTGCCCTTGACGCCTGCGCCGGTCACAGCCTATGGCGCCGGATTGTTTCCTTCGCCACCTGTGGGCTATACGCCCAGTGGACAGGCAACGACTGCTTTTGGAGCACCTGCCACAGCTGCCGTTGGCAGCGTCCCCAATCTGCCAAGACGCCCTAATGGCTCTGGTTTACAGAGCGCATCATCTGCAGGCCGCGGCGGTCCTTACGGCCCACAGCCGCAATATAGCAACACGGCCGTGGGATCGTCGGGTGCACGTGCGTCCCTTGCGGAGGATTACAACGACGGCGCCGATGGTGATTACTCAGCCATACCCGGTGAGCCCGGCGTGGACTATCCCGTATACGCCCAAGTGCCACGCACCAATTTCGACTGCTCACAACAACCACTTCCGGGCTACTATGCGGACATTGAAGCCCAGTGCCAGGTATTTCACATATGTGCACTCAATCGCACCTACTCCTTCCTGTGTCCCAATGGCACAGTGTTTAGCCAGGAGACGCTTGTCTGTGTGTGGTGGAATCAATATGACTGCGTCTCGGCGCCAAGTCTGTACGCCAACAATGCCTACATCTATGACTATAGTGGTACCAGCTCCAGCTCCAGTTCCAGCAATCTAAATCTGAATGCCAATGTATATCGAGGTGGTTCACAGCCTGTGAATACGGCCTACGGTGCAGTTGCTCCATCTACCTCTGCAGGCGGAGGGCTTCGCGCTACTGGTTCCCCACAGATTGCAGGATACAATGCACAACGTGGAGCCTATGCTCCACCCTCACCCACGCCCACACAAGCGCAATCTCTGTATGGTGCTGGCGCCATTATACGCCCGGCTGGTGTCTCGGGCACTGTGTCTGCTCCGGGTGCCAATCGCTTACCGCCAGCCACAGCTGCTGCTGGTCTGGCGGCCACAGCGGCGGGCTTACTGCCCGACAACGCTGTGGGCAGCTTTGCTCAACCTGTCGTTGCCGTTGGCAATCGAGAGTATCTGCCGCCGGCCACCGTTGGCCAACGCCAACAACGCACTCAAGCATAGGCGTAAAGACATCTCAGCATTTGTACCCGGTTAAATGGCAATAGACTCGATTGACACTAGGCTTAGCATATTTAGCATTTACATCCAGACACTTAGGAGCTCCTTACACAACTATTGTAGTTAAAACTTAATTCATATGTATTCAGTTCATATACTACATATAAATTGCATTTGTTTATTAGCATTTTCTTTAATATTTACAAGGGGAAACTTGAAACGTTAATTTAGTTCTTTAAATTTTAGATTAAAATGAACAGAATTAAGTAAACTACTGAAATTCTCAGTTTCAATGTTTTTGTAACAATTTCAAAGTTCTAAAACTAAAAAAAAGATATTTAATCCCTTAGAAAATAGTTCGTCTTGTTGCTGACAATTGGGCTCAAGGTTGTGGGCTCTTGAATTATAAATTTAGTGTTTACTAAGTTCACTAAGAAAATCTAATTGCAGCACTTTTTTGGACATGGTTCGTTTTTCCCTAGCGTCTTTTAACAACTTTCCATAGTGCTGTTTAAAATCTGAACGTAAATACATATGTCTGCCCCTTTTCAGCTTGGGTTCGCCTTGCCTGGGCAGAGGTATAGTGGGATTAAAAGCCATTTGCGTGCTGTCGTACTGTACAAAGAGTTCATGTGCATTGCTGGAGATGATAGACAGATACATTAACATACTTTTAAGCTATGTATATATAAGACTATATTACTCACAGTTTGCCTATATCTGTGGGCAGCGCACCCTCACCGGATGCAGGCACGCCATTGGCTATATGCGCAGCCATGCGACGCACCGTGGGATGATAATGCCGCGCCAGCAGCGAGAGCTCATAAAGCGAAGTGCTCGCCGCATTGCAGTACTCAGGATCATCCAGTTCAGGATCATAGCGACCGGAGCCAATAGTGGTGTCCGTATCGAGTAGCGCATCCAGCACCGAGGTCAGCTGGAATGTCTGCTTAATTGTGCCAAGCGTGGCCAATGTGCCATTGTGCAGCAAATGAAGACTGCCTGTAAGCAGACGCTTGACAAAGGCCATCAGCCGCTGTTGGCTCATGTTGCGCCGTCTCTTAACCAGCACCTCATCCAGTGTGCGTAGAATAATTGCAAAATCATCATGATTCTTGCCCGCCTGAACGACCAACATATTGCGATAGAAATGCTGATAAAAGCGTATGGGATCTATGTTTAAGACTTCACCCTGGCCAGAGAGAATAACAAAAATGGTTTGGATGCAGTGCAGCTGCTCGCGATAACCCAATTCCTGTTCCTCAAGTATGCGATTTAGTACATCTATGAGATCGGAAAAGAACTCCAGATTGATAACATGAGCGAATCTGTAAGTCAATATATAAGTTCGATTTTCTAATCGGGATGTCAATTGCAGTACTCACTCCGCCAGACCCTCCAATATCGCGCTAAGCACCCGCGACGTGGGATCATTCTTGAGCACACGGAAATATATAGTGAAGACCATTTTGATAATTTCCGTCAGTTTGTGGTGCTTGGTCTGCTTATTTTCTTCGGCGCGCGTCTCCTCTAGTTCTTTATTGACCTCGGTAAGTTTCTTGCGACGCTTGCGCTCCTTCTTGGACAAGCTAAGCAGACGCTGACGATGCGACTCCAACTTCTTTTGCTTCAGTTCATTTTCCTTTTCAGCATCCAGGTTGACATGCTTGATCTTAAGGCCCATCATGCACGTGATGCACTCGACATGTACGTTATTCTGCTTGGACTTGATCAGGTGATTGATGCGACGCACAATAAACAAAGTCATGTCCAGCCGCTTGTCGTTGCCGAACAAAGTGCGGAAGCAGTGATTGACTGCCAAACGCATCGTTCCATAGTTGCAGTTCAGCATATAGACCAGCAGCTGGGCAATGTTTTGGACGTAGTTGAAGTAGGGATGTGCTATTAGCAGATCGCACATGCATTGCACTGCTACAGTGGCCATTTTGATGGTTTGTGGTGTCTTTTGGCCACCACGTTTGTTCACCTGGGCCGTCAGCTGTTCCAGCTTCTGCAAAAACTTCTTGAACTGCTGCAGCAGCGCATTTTCAAAGGTAACACGATCTAGTGTGGCTTTGCGTACGGTTTGCATCTTGGTATCCACCTGACCAACACGATATTCGGGCAGAATGTCCTTAAATATTTCTGTGATCGAAATGATTGCCAGTTTGCGCACAGCGAGAAGATTGGGAATGCCAGTTTCTGCATTTATCTCATCCATGAGCTCATAGAGCGCATTAATGTTGCGCATTTTATCCTCTGGTCTCTCCAGGATACCAGAACAAATTATGCCTATGCGATATTTTTGACGCTCTATTTCCTGCTGTCGAGCAATTAGCAAATCTGTGGTCGATACCAGCTTCCGTTTGGGCACGGGTGCCTCATCATTGACTACATCATCGTCGCTGTCTTCAAATACAGCATCGCTGTCTTCCTCTTTGTCCTCTTCAGCGTCTACCTCTTCCTCTTCTACCTCTGGCTTGAGTTTTGGTTTCGGTACATAGTCAACTTCTGTGGTCCGCGTTATGATCTCACCATCGCGAGATTTAATGGGCAACAAGTTGACTTTTACCTTTTGAGCTGCCTGTTCTTTTTTGCTGGCTGTAGCGTAGGCCATTTCCAGACTCACAGACTGCTGCTGCTCCTCCAATGGCACTGCCTTTGCCTTGCGCTTGCGTTTGTTTGCCTGCAGCAGGGCCAAATCATCACCGTCCAACATGTCCGCAACGTTGTCCAGCAGCTGCTCCCCGCCAAGCTCATCTCCATCCTCATCAGCATCGAGTTCTCGGAGCCGTCCAAGCGACTGCTGCTTATTATGTTTCTTGCGCTGCGCCAGATTGTCACGCTTGTGCGCCTTTTGAGAGAAGATGTTTTGTCCATGTTCACGCTTCGAGCTTAACTGCTCGCGTTTCTGTTTTATTTTTTGTTGTTGCTGTTTGCTCAGCGGTGCCTTTTTTGATTTCAAGTGAGCGGCTCGCTTCACAGAACTGATTTTTACCTTCTTCTGCAAGTGTCAATTATATATAAAGTTACTTAGTATAAATTAGTACTTTATTTAACACTTACCGTACCCATTTTAATTAAATTTTATTAGTTAAAAGCGGTTCACAAAATTTAAAGCGAGCACATGGCATTTACAGTTGCCAATAGCGATGGGAATTAATCGTTGCATATTATCGATAGTACTAACTAATGAGTCTATCGAGTTTGTCACATATCGACTGCCGCCGTGCTATTACAGTTCAGTGTTAATCAGCTGTGCAGTGATGTTTGCATTTTACCACTAACCAAACAAACACCATATGTTGTTTAATTAATGATTTTACGAGACATACGTTTATTATCAGAATGTCGGACGAAGAAGAGGACTACATGTCCGACAAGTTCTTAGCGGGGTAAGTAAGTCATTAGACTACCATCTAGTTGGCTTTATTAATATATAAACTACAGTCTACAGGAAATACGCCCCAGCTTAGTAAATAATCGCGCCAAAAAACGTCAGATTCAAGTGCAAACAAAACAGGAAGAAAACAGCAAGCGACAACGCGAAGAAGCCAATGCCACCACAGTAGATAATAAGAGGCTGCAACAGTCTTTAAATAAGCCGCTCGCAGCGGATAACAAAGGCTTTCAGCTGTTGGCCAAAATGGGCTACAAGGCAGGCAGTGGCCTGGGTAAACAGGCAGATGCACGCATAGAGCCAATAGGCATTAGTATTAAAAATGATCGCGGTGGGCTGGGACGGGAGGCAGCGATTGCTGAGCTGGCTGCCAAGCGACAGGAGCTGCGGCGAGAGCATTTGCTGCGCAAAGCAGGCATTGGATCCGGCGAGGAAATCAGCACAGAGGAATATCGCCAGCGAGCTACACAAAAAGCCGAAGAACGCAAGCTGCACTACGATGTAAAGCGTTGTCAGCAAACGTGCGAGTCGCTGGATCTGGCAGCAGGCGTTACAGAACCAGATCTAGACTTTTTCTGGCCACCCAAACCCACAGAGCCAAGTGAAGAGACAGAAGCTGAGGCAGTAGTTGAAGCAGCAGGGCCAGTAGAGAAGGAGGAACAGTACAGTGCAGGCGAGCAGCTGGAGCTGCTGACCAGCTATCTGCGCACCTCCTACAAATTTTGTTATTGGTGTGGCACGCACTACGAAAGCGCCGATGATTTGGACAGCAACTGTCCCGGTTTGACACGCGATGAGCATTAGCATTGAAATTAGATCTTAATTAATCAGGTTAAGCGCTAGTTTCACAAAATACGTGCACATTTATATATTACAACAAATGATAGTCAAAAAACAGTTATATATAGCGGTGTACTATGATTGAGTCGGATTGAGGCGTATAATTGGAATGCGGCTACACGCGTCCTTCTAATTTCTGTATAAGATCGTGCGTCTGCTCGATGACGCTGTAGATAAATGGTCGCTCCATTGGATCGATGCGCAGCATGTACTTAATCAGTTCATGCATGTCCTGCGAAATAAAAAGTATTGAAGTAACGTTTACGTAACGTATACTGATTGAGTTACCTCTGTATAAATGGAATCCTCAGGAATGTTTACATTGCCGCTGAGCACGGCCAAGGCAACGCTATCGCCACGCTCATAGATGGGATCGAATGGGCTGTTAAAGTAGCACATGGCATACAGCACGCAGCCGAGACTCTGGAGAAAAGAAACAGTAAGCAAGTGCTAAAAAATGTATAATCAGTAACTTACCCAAATATCCGTGCGTTCGTCGATGGTGCAATACGTTTTCACGGTAAAAAGCTCGGGTGCTCGATAAACAATTGAGCTGCGCTCCTCAGCCTCGTCTTGCAGCCGTTGCGCATCTGATTGACCGCAAATTTGCAGGCGCGCTTCTGTCATGGAGCCGAGGTCCACAATGATGGGCTCAAAAGAGTCTGATAAGCATATGTTGGCAGTTTTCAAATCACGGTGCGCCAGCGGCACTGGCTTTGCCTCATGTATGGCCCGGAGACCTTCGCAAACGCCCAAAAAGATTTGCAATATCTGTGCCTCGGGCATATGATCCTGTTTCCGTGCGCGCAGCTGCAAGTGATCCGACAGCGAGCCATGCTTGTAGTAGGGCAACACAATGAACAAGGTGCTCGTCGTGTTTATCACAATGTCCGCCTGGCCTTGCAGCTCGTAGTCAACGACGCGTATGACATGCTCCGAATCGATTTTACGACAATTCTCGATTTCACGCAGGGCGATATTCTGATCCTCGATGCTGTGGCAAGTTATACGCTTTATCGCATAGCTGCGCCGCGTTGCCGCATTCACCGCAAGGTCAATCAAACTGAAGCCCCTGCAGCAGATAGTAGTGTAAACATTGAGATTAGATAGCAGTAGCTATGTAACAGGAATAATTGTACCCTTTGGGAGGGGACAACGAAATGGGCTAGAGATCTAGCGCAACTGCAACTGATAAGTATGACCTCTTGAAGTTATCAAGAACTAACTAATAAGTTTAGTACAGATTTGTTGCTGCTACAGGGTATCTAACAGTCAACAACTTTTCAAAACTGTCTGTAACGGGGCTTTTTATTTGTGGTTTTATTTTACCCTTGTGCCAGGCGTTCGCGTATTGTGTAGCGGGAGCCATTGATGTTAAGCTTTTCTTTGCTGCAAAAGCAGCCACGTTTTACAATCAGCGTCCATCCAATGCTGTGCATTTTACTTTCTCTTATTAATTATTTACAAGACGCACAAACCTCGAGCTTAAGAAACTACCTAAACAACAACAACTAACTAATGTCGTGCTGCACAGCTGTTGGCAAAGACAGGGCTGTTAACTGCAACACATGCCGCATGCCGATGTGGTGTTGCCACCTGGTGTAATATAATCAACTAACGTGAACTATATTTTTTGAAGCAATTTCAAACGCTTTTCTTTTTTAATTAATGATGATAACCACGGAAGACGCTTGGCAGGATCTCATTGGCATCAGCGCCGATCCGCCTGACAGGCGCGATAAATGCGAGCAATGCAAGTAAGTCAATAAAACATAAACAAACCCACTTTAATGCAAAGCCTTTCACAGACGACCCGTAGTTGTCTGCTGGTGCTCCGCATTACCTCAGCCGCCCCTTGCGGTGGCCTCGCAAATTGTGATACTGCAACATCCCGCTGAGGAGAAGCGTTCGCTGCGCACAGCTCTTATGCTGCAGCTGGGGCTAAAACCTGGAAAATGTGTGGTCTACAAGGGCAAGCGATTTCCCAATGCTCGCCACCCAGCTGAGCTGCAGCGTGTGCTTGATTCGCCACAGACGCTACTCCTGTATCCTAGTAAAGATTCAGTGCCATTGGAGCAGATCGATCGAAGCGCGGGACCGTATACTCTCGTGCTCATTGACGGCACTTGGCCACAAGCGAAGGCTATCTATGCCAGCAGTCCGGCACTGCATCGCTTGCGCCAAATCAAACTAATTGCGGTGGGCATTAGCGATTACATTATACGTACACAACCCACTGAGGGATGCTTAAGTACACTGGAAACGGCGGCGCAGTGTCTGGCAGTGCTGGAATCGCAGCCTGAGCTGCGCCAAGTGCTGGTGCGACCGTTGCATGCACTATGCAAATACCAGCTCGATAATGGCGCCGTGGAGCACCAGTCAAAGGAGTTCCTGATGAAAACCAATCAATATCCCAAACCTATTGGCAAGAGGCTAAGTCGCTTATTGAACTACAGTAATACAGTTTGCGGCAGTGCCAGCCCTCTAGAAAAACAGGCGGTTAAGCAAAAGTCTTGATGAACGATCCACAATATGGTTCATGCTCTGTGCGGGAACGTGCTTTTATTTTTAATATATACTATAAACTATTTGTAATTTATATACACAATAATATTTGCATATATGTGTTTCCAAGTGATTTTTGGAATTTAGACCATGGGTGTGTTCCTGGCATCTGTTAAAGCACGCATCATAGCACACTGTGCAATTGCATAGGACCTAACACAAGCATTTTGTTCATCCACTGCAATAATTATAAATTAAGAGTTAATGTATTGTATGTATTGCATAATTTTGCTAATTGCTCTACTCACTGCCCTGGGATTCACAAAACTCTATGGAATCACCCGTTGCTGGCCACATATATTTGCGCACCACATCCGGATTCAGCTTGAAGTTTTCTATTAAGCCAGCTTTTTCGAAGAAGCAGCGAAAGTAGCACTAGAACATATTCAATGAAAAGTATTTCTTCAGTTTTGGAGTCAGTCACATACCATGCTGGTCATATCCTTTTCATCGAATAGCTTGCCCGTGGTATTGAACTGCAGCACATTCGCTGGAATGATAAAATGTATAGAAGCATAGAAATATTTAATTTGTCCTCACAGGACTCACACATGGGCGTAACAAAACTAGCATTACAGACATGCATAATCTCGTCAAAATCAATATAACCCGCTTCTCTAGGCGCTTGAGTTGTGGTCGATATGTCATCCACATCGCCATCGAAGCTATCGTAATTTATTATAAATATATCGCCATTGTCCCGGGCGCGATCGCTGAAAGCACTAATAAGCCCGTGACTCATGCCCAGCACGGTCAACAGAGCAACAGAAATTTGAATTTTTATAAACATTTTCGCAACGGTAAACCGACTTTAATGGAGGTTACGAGTTCGAAACCCATTTTATATGAAATATCGAGAGTCAATTAGCTAAACAAATTGTTCCAGTGACTTTTACACTACACGCAATATACAGTTTCATTAGGTGAATAATATTAACGGAAATGGCGTGATAACAAATTGGCTAATATTATAATAACTTTGACACAATAGTTATAAACGTTTGGTTTTGGTTGAACAACCTATAATAGAACAGTCCTCTGAATAAATTTACAATTTATAATACAAATAAATAGGTTGGCCAATTTTGGTTAACTTTTCATTATTAGTGAGTGCAACTTGTATGTTAATAAATTAAAATAAATAGTTCTTTTCGGGCTATATTATGAATGAAGTTCAATTCAAAGTGCGATTTTACGGTACGCTACATTATTTATGTTTATACTCGATTCTTCTCCTTAATTCACTTACCATATGGTAGTAAGAACTCCTTGGCACAGGCCGTCCTAACCTCAAGGAAATGCGCATGAAATGCGCGCTGCACTTCCGGACTATCCGGTTCCGGTTGTAGATCCTGAGCGCGCAACTCAATTAAAAATAAGCCGAACATTAACAGAATTCGAAGCAAATGGAGCCGTGACATCTTTACTATAGCCCAAGACTTAACTGTTTAACAATCTAGAGAACCGTTTAGCTTTTATAGAACGAATCAAACTGAGTAAACTATAGATCGATTTGAATTAAAAAACGTTTAACTAAATAGTTGCAGTTTAATCGAACAATAAATACATGCGACAGCAATATTCTCATTCATATAATACAAAACTAATAATATTTAAATAAATGAATGTTAAACGAAATCTACAAAATTCAATGGGTGCTTTTTTCTATTTTTTTTTTTAATGTTTTTTATGAAAACCGTTTACAAAAATTGGTTAAAATAGCGTAAAGTTAACTTAATGAGTGTCTGGAACTTTAGTATAGATCGCGCAACGAGGTCTGTGCTTAGAGTGAGGATTACGTATAGATATAGTTGAATTAGTATAGCCAAAGGGTTTCAATTTACAAGTACATAATTGTAGGATAATATGTAGAATAGTTTGTGTTGTTGCCTTATAATTAATTTCGCTTAATTTTGCAGTAATTCTTGATGGAATTTTCATTAAATTACTCTATGCAGCGTCCACGTTGCATCCACACGTCAGACCTTGGCTCCCCAGGCCCGTTTCAATAAATAGGCGCCCTTCTCCGCGATCATCACCGCCGGCGCGTGTGTATTACCCGCTGTTACCTTGGGCATAATGCTCGTGTCCATCACACGCAATCCACGTATGCCATGTACTCTCAGCTCGTGATTGACAACGGCCATGGGATCCTGCTGCGGACCCATTTTGCAGCTACCCGCCTGATGATTCTCCGGTCCGGTGTTCTGACGCACTGCACACTCCCAGTACGCATCGCTGCCAAACGTGTGCGATTCGCAACCCTTTACGACTGTCTTGTCCAGGCGCATGCCGTACTGCTTGAGAGGCGAGCTCTGCGATAGCCTTATGGCAAACTTAATGCCATCTACCAGGGCTTTCACATCATGATCATCGGTCAGGTAGTTGGCAAAGATGCGAGGCGGATCCAGGGGATCGGCGGATCGTAGCTGAATATAACCGCGGGATCTGGGATTCAGCACAGCCGGAAAGATTTGTATGGAGCGTGAGTTGTTTGAGAGCAGTTCACCCACTTGACCTGTGCGTGCGCAGCTGGCCAAATAGCCGCCAAAGTACAGCTGCAGATCAGGCAGATCTGGTCGATCGGCATAGCGCGAGGAAACCTTGGCGGTAACATCAGAAATGCCCGTGCCTGACATCAAGCCATCTCGGAAAAGTAAATACTCCATGGCGGTGGCCCAGTTAAGCGGCGCTGTGTCCGCATCATCGATAAAGAAATTGGTAAAGAAGGCCACGTGATTCTGTAGATTCTTGCCGACGCCTGGCAAATTGTGCACGGGTCGCACATTCACCTGTTTCAGCTCCTCCTTGGGCCCCACGCCGCTGAGCAGAAGTATTTGTGGGGAATTGACGGCACCCGCGCTGAGAATCACCTCCTTCTTGGCCATAATCTTGCGCATGCTGCCAAACTGGTCGCTGACCTCCACACCCAGCACGTTCTTCGTGTGCGGATGAATCAGCACCTTCGTGACGGTTGTGTTCAGCAAAATATGCAAATTGTTGCGCATGCGTGCGGGTCGTAGGAACGCTCTTGCTGAACTATAACGAATGCCATTACGTGCGGTCATTTGGGCGATCATGAAACCCGTGGAGTTCTGCCCGTTAAGGTCTTGCACCGAGTAGCCCATCTCCTCGCCAGCCTTGAGTATGGCATAGGACAGTGGCGGATTGTAGGGGAACTTGCCCACAGGCAAAAGGCCGCCCTTAGCATGGTATTCAGTGCCAACCGCATCTAGCTCGAGATTATCTTCGGATTTCTTAAAGAACGGCAACACGTCGTTGTACGACCAGCCGGGATTGCCCTGTGCCGCCCAGTTATCATAGTCCTCACGATTGCCGCGTATGTACATCATGCCATTCATTACCGACGTGCCACCTAAGACCTTGCCACGCGGCCAATAGCAGCGCTGCTCCATCGAGGACAAGCAAGCCATGGGCTCTGGTTCTGTGTTATAACGGTAGTCAATGTCGCTGCCAATGAAGTTTAGGAACATGGAGGGTATTTGAGCGCCCACGGGTTCATCACCACCTACGAAGAAACAAAAAATTAAGGGTATTTAGCTTCATTTAATTGCATCCTAAACTAGTTTGGCATCCTCATTGCGGAATTGCAACAAAAGCACACAGGCAAAGTGCTGCCGTAACTATTATTCAAATTGTAAACATTTTGTACACTTAGCTACTAGCTTAAGTGTAAACTCAATAAAACAATATCACTGAGAATGTTTGCTCTTCAGAGATCCGCATAGCAGCAATGAATATGCACATTGAAATATGTATTAATCCCAACTGATTTTTGCGTAGACCTTTAACAATTGCTGGCTTTAGCATGGTACAAAGCTCATAAGGTAAGGGACACTATTATGCTTTACAAAAATATTCACACGCCCAAGATTGTTAACGGTAGAAAGGCCGGACCTAACAGTGGGTGTGCATCTCCCGCAACAGCAAATCAATTCATTGTTTTTGTTATTTTCGCTGGAACTCATTTTTGTGACTAACATGTTCGTAGCAATCAGAACAAATTATGCTGATTAGAAATCAATTCACAAAAATTCGAAATGCTATTTTAAAGCTTGTCGACATTTCCTAAAGCGGATTGTTAATTTCTTGTTGTATTCCTTTTTTTTTTTTTAATTTTGAATCAGTCTTCTAGAATTTCCGTTGTGCATGGGCCCACGACATTTGAGCAATTCGGTGATCATCAATTAATTAAATCAATTTAAATAAAAGGGTATTTGATTGCTATTTAAACCGTGGGAGCTAAAAATTCACCGCAAGCTGTCCGAATAATAATTTAGCTTGTCATTTTGTCAGTTGAACTGAAGCCAAAACAAACAAGCTGCAATTGCAACAAATTGCGACCAGTTCAACAAAAATGTATTTCGACTAATAACTTGTTCTACAAAAACTCAAATAAATTTATTTAGCATGCTTATAAGTTGCAAATAAAATAAAACAAGATTCTTTCACAATTGAAAACTCGCAGTTGTTGTTGTTTAGTGTTTACGTCGTGATCACCAAAAAAAGCAATTAGCACAAAAGAGTTGAGTGAATTTATTCATTGCTTAAAATGAAATAAAACTTATAAATAAACGTGCATATAAATTCTCGTTATATTATGCAATTTTCAATTGCGTATGACAAATTAATAGCGTTAACATAAATAATTAGATGGGAAAAAATGTTTTTGCTAACAAAAGAACAAAAAAAAAACATACAAAATATATAACAGGGTGAAATACCTTTTAAGTGTTTTAATTAATATATATTACTTTGAGACTCATAAACAAAATACACACATTATGCCTGGCACGCAACACGTAAGAAATCAAAAGACAGAACACAAACTTGCATGTCATGCGCTAAGATTTTTTATTAAATATAACTTTATATATATTGTATAAGATGTTGGTATTATTTAACACATATGCAAATTTATTTACGCGTAAATAAAACTCTTGGAACACAAACTTGTACTAAGCGTGAAATATAAAAAAAAAATTGTGCTAGTTTAAATATTATATTAATTTGCGTATAAAAACCAAAGCTACTTATTTGACCTCTACAAAAATACATCCGCTTGATGATGCACAACTTGTGCAGATGGTTGACATTGAAAATGAATAATGAACCAAGAAAACAAACGTCTATTGTCAGAATTGGAAATCAAAAAAGTGTCAACCCGGTGATTATAAAAACTATGCGTGCAACCAAGTGGAACCAACTTAGCCAAAACGAGCACTTAACAAGCACTCATGGTAATACGGTATGGCCAACTAAGCAATCACAATAATAGCCACTGGTAATTGTACTCTAGGCATTGTTAGATCATTAGCACCATCGCAGTGACAATTATCTTTCTATCTATATTTATATATTTTATATTTTTTGCTTAATTTCAGTTGTGCAATTATTATAATTAGTGACAAGGCATAATAATTGTTGCACGGTAATAATTAATTAAAAGGGCTACCAGCGACACTAACCCCAAAATCAACTCTAGCAGTGCCAAAGTACGCCTGCCTATAGGCTTATGTTAATGGACATGTTCAAGGTTAAAATCATTCGGCCAAACTTTGAAACTTTGTTGCCATGTTGCTACCTGCAATTGAGCTGAGTTAATAGGTGCAAAATCAGCATCCTTATCGGTCTTTGACCCAAACTTCTTGCTGCCTGGTACCGACTGGAGTCCGGTAAGCTTGCAAAAAATAAAAGAACAAACTTCTTTTGATTTATGGCACACCAAATTTTAATGCTTGGCACGTATGTGTACAGCTTTTATTTCGAATGGATATACAAGTT